GATAATTCAATTCATGCGGTTTTAATTTCCGAGAGGCATAAGAAATAACCTTCCCTTCTTGCATCAAAGCGTATCCTAGACCATTGTGAGAAGCATCACTGTATACTACATACTCTTTCCCTTCAATTGGTAGAGTAAGTATAGGCGCTTGAGTCAATAAGGATTTGAGAGTTTCAAAGCTCTCTTGGCATTTGTCATCCCAAATAAACTTTACTTACTTCTGCAAAAGATTAGTCAAAGGAGAGACGATAATGGAAAATACTTTCACAAATCTTCTGTAGTAACTTGCTAAGCCTAAGAAACTTTCTTACCTCGGTTGGACTTTTGGGAGGTCTCCATTCGACAACTGCTTGTATCTTACTAGGATCCATCTTCACCCCTTTGGCTGATACAACATGTCCTAGAAATGTCACTTCATCAAGCCAAAATTCACACTTGGAAAGTTTAGCATAAAGTTCCTTCTCCTTAAAAATTTGCAAAATAATCCGAAGGTGTTTATCATGGTCTTCACTACTTTTGGAAAATATTAAAATATCATCTATAAAAACAACCACAAAATGATCAAGATACGGTTTGAATACTCGATTCATTAGATCCATGAATACCGCAGGAGCATTTGTCAATCCGAATGGCATCACCAAAACTTCATAATGACCATACCGAGATCTGAAAGCAGTTTTAGGAATATCCTTCTCTCTAACACGCAGTTGGTGATATCCAGACCTTAAATCAATCTTTGAGAACACTTTAGCACCCTTCAGTTGATCAAACAAATCATCGATCCTCGGTAGTGGATATCTATTCTTGATTGTTATTCTGTTCAATTGTCTATAGTCAATACAAAGCTTGAGAGTGCCATCTTTCTTCTTTACGAACAAAACAGGAGCTCCCCAAGGAGAAACACTAGGTCGAATAAAACCTTTCTCAAGAAGTTCTTGCAATTGAGCTTTCAATTCTCTTAATTCTGCCGGAGCCATTCTATAAGGAATGACAGAAATAGGGGTAGATCCAAGAATAAGCTCGATTGGAAATTCAACCTCTCTTTCTAGGGTAATCCAGGAAGATTTTCTGGAAAGACTTCTGGAAAATCACATACAACAGGTATGTCCTTGATACAAGGACTCTCCAACCGTGTATCAACTACGTGAGCAAGGTATGCCCCACATCCTTGACGCATCAATTTTCTTGCCAAGGCCGCAGAAATAATACTAGCTATCAATGATCTTTCACCTTGTACAATGATGTGTGAAAATGAAGGATCTTTAAAGGTCACATGCTTTGACCTACAATCTACCAGTACATGATATTTATGAAGCCAGTCCATCCCGATAATAACATCAAAATCCTTGAAGGGCATTTCAATCAAATCAATAGGGAAGACCAGGCTTTGAATCACGAATGGGCAATCACGATAAATTCGATTACACACAACTTGATAACCCAAAGGACTTTCAACCAGCACATCATAAGTAAGTTTCACAGATTTCACATTTTTAGGAAGAACAAGTGATGAACAAATATACGAATGTGTAGAACCCGGATCAATCAATGTAAACACACATAAGCCAAATAAGTGAAATTTATCGACAACCATGTCTTGTCCATCCTGCTCATCCCTCTGCTTCATAGCATAAGCGTGTGCAGTAGTCCTTTGTCCACTAGCTTGATTAGCTCCACTTGTACCTGCGGCTGGGGTGTTTTTAGGTCTTGCACCTCTATTAGTTTGAGGAGGATTTATAGAAGGCTTCTGAACTGAGCCTTGAGTTCTCAAAGAAGGAGCATTATTAGGATTAGGACAATCCTTCACTTTATGATCAAAGCTCGCACAATTGAAACATGCACCAGAAGCTCTCCTGCAAGTACCATAATGATTCTTTCCACATTGCGGACACGTGGGAACACGAGGCTTGCCTTGACCATAAGTTGGAGTGCTAAAACACGAGGCTTGCCTTGGCCATAAGTTGGAGTGCTAGCTGTAGAAAACTCTGATCTGTTTTGCTTTTGCTGCGGTGGCCTGTTATCACTGTCAGCCTTAGAATTATCAAACCTTCCCTTTTTTTATGGACCCCCAAAATCTGATGTAGGCTTCCGGAATTTGTTTTCATTTCTACTAGCTTCTTCTTGATCAAGTCGCTCCCAAGTAAAAGCAGCAGACACTAACTTACAAAAGTTCTCATGTTGCAGGATTGCCACATTCTTCCTAATGGAATCATTTAAATTGTCTTCAAATTTCCTGCACTTGCCTTTTTCCTCTTTAATAATATCCCCAGCATAATGAGAGAGCCGTAGAAACTTCTGTTGGTAATCAGCAATAGATGTCGTGCCGTAATTTTCCTAACCTTTCAAAAACTCCTTTCTCTTTGCATCACAATAAGCAGGTGGGACATACTTCATACGAAATTCCCTAAGAAAATCATCCCAAGTAAGAACAGGAGGTTTTACCTTTGCATTAGGAACACTTACCCACCAATCGTAAGAAAACTTATAATTTTCAAAGATTTAAACAGAAAACATCATTTGAAAATACCCAAGAGGGTTCGGGATTCAATTTACACTTCGAGAAGGGTTTAAGCATTCGAAGTGCCCGCTAACATGCGGTTGACCTGCGACCTGACTAAAATATATTTGACTATTTTTAGAAGAAATAATAATTTAACATAAATAAAAACAATAACTTATAATATATTTGATGAAGGAAATAATTAAACAAATGACGCATTTTATTTCATTTTATTTTAATCACATTGGGATCATGCATCGCTTCAGCCATGTGGTGGAAAAATTCAGCCATTTGTTGAAAAGGAGGATTCCTGGCTTGAGTACCACGGCTCATGTGAGGATGTGAACCCGCTCTTACACCCTGATGGTTTCCCACTTCAGACCCACTAGTGTGTGGAACATATTGATTCGAGAAAGGTTCTACAACCTCTTCTA